CCCCCCCCCCCCCCCGGTAGGAGCGAAGGAAGAAGACGCCTTGAAAAGAAAACAGTGCCTTTGTTCACTAGTTCTGCCTCTATCGCTTAAACCCCACAGACATCCCCACCACCCTACCGACTAAGCTGGACCATGGCAGACGAGGACAACGCTCTTAGCGGCAGCTCAAACGAGGTCCCTCCGGAGCCCTGCCGGGGCAGTTGCGAGAGCAGCCGCTGCAGTGTGCTCACCTGGGAGCAAGTGCAGCGCCTGGACCGTATCCTGAGTGAAACCATCCCGATTCACGGCCGGGGCAACTTCCCCACGCTGGAAATGCAGCCGCGACAGATCGTGAAGGTGGTGAGGAGCCGCCTGGAGGAGCACGGAATCGGCGTGCGCGATGTGCGGCTCAACGGCTCGGCGGCCAGCCACGTCTTGCACCAGGACAGCGGCCTGGGTTACAAGGACTTGGACCTCATCTTCTGCGCCGATCTGAAAGGCGAGACGGAGTTCCAGACAGTGAAGGACGTAGTCCTGGACTGCCTCTTGGATTTCTTGCCGGATGGGGTTAACAAAGAGAAGATCACGCCGCTCACCCTGAAGGTAAATTGAATGCGCTCAGGGTCCCAGCAGGCTGGCTCGTTTATCTAGAAGAGGGTGACACACCAATTATTTCAGTTTGCATTGAAAAATGCAGACTCCCCATGACAGTTCCCGGAGGATTAAAGACACGCCAACACACTCTGCCTCTCCTTTCTGCTTATGGCCAGCACCATCTTCTAATTGGCTTCTTCCAGCTATTAATTCTCCTTGCTTAGGGAGAGCAGGGAGATCCATATGCTTTAATTATAGCCCTGATCCATAGCTGAGTTAAATCAAAGCATTTGAGCTTGTTTAGAGTCCCTGGTTTTTCTGTGAGCTAAGTTGTTTTAATTACAGTTATTTCTTTTCTTAGTTGGGTTGTGGATGGGCCCGCTAGAGGGAAACGGAGCTCCTGCATTTCCCTGCCCTTCAGTGCTCCAATAGCACCACACTGAGATTTAGCCAAGGATTTTGAGAGCCTGGTCTCTGTTCCCAGATCCTCACAAATCTTTTTTTGGAGGAGGTGCTCACTCACTGTCACTACATTATGTTTAAGTATTTTTTGCAACACTCAAGGAATTCACTGAAGCCAAACTGCCTTTTAAGAGAAGTTGGGAATCATCCAAAACCTTTGGTTTAAGTTATTACTTTGCAAGAATTATATTGGTTTGGAAGACAGGGTATAAGCTTAAAGTTTGCTTAGAAATTTCCCAATTTCTCCAAAAGGTAAAGCAATCTTTAATTTTAAAGATGTAAAAATGAGAACCAGTGTGTTATCACATTCATTTTTGCCATAATTTAATTGCAATTTTTCAAGAGAGTTCCACTGTTATTACTTTGTATGCATTTTTATCATATCTTTGGAGAAAAAGCCTAAATAAAATCCATACACAGAACATACCCTTTGAGCATTTACCATGGCATGAATCCTCCCTCACCAATCTTTAGCCACTGCCTGTCTGTAAACCACATACTAAATCTGTCTACATTGTCTCTTTCACATGCCTGAGCTCTGGGGAAGGCAGGGTGGAGTTGGGATCAAATGCAGATGAAAGCTCCAAAGAGGAAGTGCTCTTACTAGTTTCCTGATCTTTTCTTTTCTTCTTTTTCTCTCCCTTTTTTTTGGGGGGGGGGCATTTGTTTCAAATTGCAGGAAGCCTATGTACAGAAAATGGTGAAAGTCTGCAACGATTCAGACCGATGGAGTCTCATCTCATTATCCAACAACAGTGGCAAAAATGTGGAGCTGAAATTTGTGGACTCTCTGAGGAGGCAGTTTGAGTTCAGCGTAGATTCTTTTCAGATCAAGCTAGACTCTCTCCTTCTTTTTTATGAATGTTCTGAAAATCCAATGGCTGAAACCTTTCACCCAACTATCATTGGGGAGAGCGTCTATGGGGATTTCCAAGAAGCCTTTGATCACCTTTGTAACAAGATAATTGCAACTAGAAATCCAGAAGAGATCAGGGGAGGTGGTCTCCTTAAATACTGCAACCTCCTAGTCAGAGGCTTCAGGGCTGCCTCTGAGTCTGAGATTAAGTCCCTCCAGAGATACATGTGCTCAAGGTTTTTTATTGATTTCTCAGACATTGGAGAACAGCAGCGCAAGCTGGAGTCCTACTTGCAGAACCACTTTGTGGGACTCGAGGACCGCAAGTATGACTATCTCATGACCCTTCATGGTGTGGTGAATGAGAGCACAGTGTGCCTGATGGGACATGAGAGACGACAGACTTTAAATCTTATCACCATGCTGGCCATCCGGGTGCTGGCTGAGCAAAATATCATCCCCAATGTGGCCAATGTCACTTGCTACTACCAGCCAGCCCCATACGTAGCTGATGCTAACTTCAGCAATTACTATATTGCTCAGGTTCAGCCCATGTTCCCATGTCAGCAGCACACTTACTCTACTTGGTTGCCCTGTAACTAACAGTTTTAATAGACTTGGGGAGCATCTTTTTCCAGCAAGCAAATAAAGGGGGAGGGTGGATCTCCTCTTTTAAAAATGGGATGTTTTTAGTGCAACATGATTTGCTCTACCTTTTTTGCTTGAGGAAAGTTGCTGGTTCTTCTCTCTAGTGTAACCGAGCCTGTCTTAGAAAAGAACTAAACACTATTGGATTCCACCCCAAAGTATGCAACCTGTTTTGAAGAGCAACTAGATCCCCTTGAATAAATCCAGGAGAAATGGTTGATGACAATATGGGTTGGCAATGCTTGCTCCCATAGCTATGGCAGAGCGAAAGTTGGGAAGCCTCCTTTATTTTTTAAGTGGAATCTGAAAACTGAAATTAAAAAAGGAGAGGAACCTAAGAAGATGAAGCAAAACAAAAAGCTAAACATGCTTTCAGGAATTAAAAGTTAAATGCAAAATAGAGATATGTTGGAATAAGATGTATTTTGGAATTCTTGCCTTGGAACATGCATTAAGTGCTGCCAACGGAGGGGTTCCATAGAATGTATAGCTTGCTTGAATAGAATGCTTTAAGAGAAACCGCTTGCTCAAAAAGAAAAGGAGAGATGGATACTGAAAGAAGGGTGGGGGTGGGAAGGATTATGGCAAATTTCATTATTTCCAGCTGTGTGCATGCTTCACATTTTTTGAAAAAAATGTGGAAAAGCAAGAAAACCAGCTGTAGCAAGCTTCATATGCTTTAGGACCAAAGATAAATTATCCTAGTAAAAAGGAAGACATGGTAGATTATTAAATATATATATTTGTATACACAAATATTAAACAAAAGTGCCTGATGCCTTCAGAAAATTTGAAGTGAGAAAAATATAGTTTTGTGGTTTAATCTTGCATTTTGTTTTTTATCAGGGACACAAGAAACTAAAAAAATAAGCTTGTGAATAAATGATGGAGGATATTCCTATTTTTTTCCTTGCAAATACCTATATAAAGGTTGTATTGTTGGTGTCCTGCAATCTTTGGTACACAAGTGTATGTGTATGTTTATTGTTTTGTGTGTGTGTGTGTGTATAACATGTTATATGTATATATTCACACGTTTTAAACATGGTAGGGAAATGTAGCAATGTTAAGGAATGTTTTAAATGAACTATAGTGTGTGTTCCAGTCTGCAACAGGATATAATGAATCTGAGGGCACTTTGCAGAGATTCCCACACCAGAAAAATCTACATAAACACATTAGTCCTAAATAAAATAGGAATCCAATGATAAAAAATAATTAATTGGGCTACTTGTGAGTTATAGGATTTTGTAACTGGACAGAACTTCACTTTCCTCTTAATTATTCTGCTTTAATATGGTTTTAATATTCAGCTTAGAAATTCCTTGACTGCATGCCTCTGTGATGTAGTAAGATACCAACTGGAATGTGGCTCAAACAGATGGCTCCCCTCATTGTTAATTATTGTTTTACTTGATGATTTAAATACTTATGATTAATATTTCTTTTGAAAAGCAAACAGAATGCACTGTGCATTCCAGGACCACTATAACTTAGTAAATGTGAAATGAACCATACGTGTTGCACATGTGTGTATGTGTATATGTATGTGTGTGTATGTATATGTATATACACACACACATATACATACACCCTATCAAACGTGTTGATTTGATTGCCACACTATTTTGCAGCTTAATATTGTATCTTATTTAAAAGGAATAGTTTCTGCTTTCTCAAAGAGGCAAGTGAAGTACTGGGAACCAACTTACTGCAAGTTTTTCCATCCTTCTTGTGTTGATTGTCATACAGAAGAGTTCTGACTCTTCTTTTTCTTTTTCCTCCAGCCACTGGTCTTTTAAAAGGAAATGAAAGTTAACTGTAAAGTTCAAATGCAGAGTTAAGAGGTCTTTAAGTTCATTAATTAATGAACCTATCTGTGGATTTAAGGCTCAGATGCTTTAAAAATTGTGTTGGAGTCTGGCCCACCTGTTTTCCCCCCATTAACGATCTGACATTTCCAGTTCTGGAGAAGGGATGGAGGAAGGCCATCAACACTTGTAGAATCAAATGTTAATCTAGGTATATCCCTGTCAGCGGTAAAGCAAGATGAAATATTTATAATGGAAGGATTAGTAAATTGCTGACCAGATAATCTGTCCTTGGTCCCAGTAAAGCTACTGGCAATCTATTTTCCTTTACTAAGTTTTAAATTATTAAAGCTTTTCCTATATCTACAATTATTTTGTATTAGTTGAATAGGATCCCCGTGGGTTTACTCATGCATCCTCTCTGTGAAACCCCTCTGTGGGGAATAATCTTTTGTTCTGTCTGGAAAGCACTCTCTACTCTCCTTTGCTTTTTCTCCCTCTGATGCCTGATAGGTATGGCCTTTTTTTAAAGAGCTTATTTTGTTCAGTGCTCAGTTGTAAACAAATGCTTGTATTTGCCAACCCAGTCCCATTTGTGGTGAATGAAAAGAGAGATGCATTTGGTTAAAATCAGAATTTCACTTATTATCTGACTTATTTCTATGAGTATCCAAAAGAGAATAATGAATGGGTCCAGCCCAACGTATCTGGCGGAGGGGGGGGGGGGCAAATCAGTGAAGCCTGCTGCAACTGTACAAGGTCTTCCTGGTGGAAACTGAGCTGAAGGCTGGGGAAATGGGATCAGCTGGTAATGTGGTTTTGTCCTTTCCTTAACGCAGCTATTTTGCTGCAAAGAAATGAGTCATCCACTCTTGCAAGGGCTTGGGGATCACTGGCAGGACCTCAG